TCATTTATCCGGGCAACCCCTTTCGTCAAGGGGCTTCTTCCTTTGAGCCACACTTCGGGGATGTCTTCTGTAAGGCAAATGGTTATGACCGAGGGCGTGTTCTGGAATCAAAATGATGCAAGTAAAGTTGAAAAGGAATTTCAAAATTACAGGAAAGGAGCTATGAGGGTAGAGAGGGTGGGTTTAATATACAAATAAGGAAACTTCGTGGATTGGGGAAGTCATTGGATGAAAATAATGAGGAAGTTGGAGGCTTAAACAAGAATAAACAACGTCTAGAAAGTTAGAGGAGTTCGGAGGTCGCTTTTGGCTTCTGCAAATATCCTGTATATTATTTCACTACTTGGGGGCTTAAAGTCATTCTCATTAAAAGAGGATAAAGGAACACTAAAACCAGCCTATCTCATCTGATGTTTTCGGGTTCGTTTGTTTTTATTATTTTTGTTTTTTTTAGAGAAAAGTTCTTGCTCTGTTGCCCAGGCTGGCATGCAGTGGCATGATTATAGCTCACTGCAGCCTTGAACTCCTGGACTCAAGCAATCCTCCCACCTCAGCCTCCTGAGGTGCTGGGATAATAGGCATGAGCCACCATGCCTAGCCTGTTTTGTTTAGTTGTTTTTTTTTTTTCTTTTTTGGGACAGGGTTTCACTATTAGGCCCAAGCAGGCTTAACACGCTTTCACTTAATATGCTAATACAGTAATCAGCATTTGGACAAACAGTTGGCTAAACATATAAATAATAATCTAAACTCAATATAATAATTTACAAATCATTTGGGGATTCTAAACAGGACACAGTCACCTATTAGCTGAATAATACATAGCTTGTGTATAGCCAACTACTTCTTTATGCCAGTCTTTCTGGATTGGAGATATTATGGATTTGTGTTGGAGTAATAAATGTAGCCATTAACATTTTAGATCAGCACTTTTAAGCCCCAAATAAAAAAGGATATGTGTTGATTAGGGTTGTATCTTTACAACATTCAATGAAGTTATTCTTGGCATCCTGTTTTGGAAAATTTGGATCTGCACTTGTAGGTATGTTTATATGTCTTCTTTAAATAGAAGATTTCATGGTGTGTGTGTGTGTTTTTAATTTCTTCTCATAAGGCCTAGTGATATATGGGTGCTCTTCAAATGTTCATTTTATAACAGTTTAAAAATCTCAGTAATGGTCTTGATCTCCTGACCTTGTGATCCACCTGCCTCGGCCTCCCAAAATGCTGAGATTACAGGCATGAGCCACTTGTGCCTGGCTAACGTGGTGAAATCCCACCTCTAGTAAAAATACAAAAAAAATTAGCCTGATGTGGTGGCATGTGCCTGTAATCCCATCTATTCGGGAGGCTGAGGCAGGAGAATTGCTTGAACCCAGGAGTCAGAGGTTGCAGTGAGCCTAGATTGCACCACTGCACTCCAGCCTGGGCATCAAAGTGAGACTCTGTCTTAAAAAAAAAAAAAATCCGTCTTTGTTCCTTCTCCACTCCCACTGCTTCACTTGACTAGCCTGTGAAAAAGAAGAAGAAAAAAAATCGGTAATGTAGAACGGGTACCTAGTACTATTGAATTAAATTGGAAAGCTCTGCATTTTTATTAAGGAGAAGCTTCACCAATTATTTAGAATGAATTGCTCCAAGATTCTCCATTTGCTTTCATGTAGGAAGACCCTATCAAAGGGCTTGGACATCGTAGTTGTTTCTAATTTACGGATGGAAGTATGATGGCCATTTTCTAAAGCTGAACCCATTATTCCTAGAAAGGAGGTGAGTAACCACATCATCAACTAAAAACCTGGAACCATAAGGAAAAGTCTTGTGAATCTTTCAATTAAAATGAGATCACCTTTTAAGGTAACATGTGACAATTTTTGTGCCTACTTAAATGTGACCTTAGAGAACTAATTCCAGTGACTAAACCCCCAACCAGGCAAAGTTAAAATTCTATCTTGACTTAAAAGCAGAATTCCACTACCTGAGTCACCTACAGAACTTCAGCAGCACCCTGGATTTTCCTGAAAGGATCCCCAACCAAGGATTAGGCAGGTTTAGCCATGTTCTCTTATGAAATCAGTTGATGACACAGTTACAGGGACTATGGCTCAAAGGGTATGGGTTGGGTTAGTGCCAACCCTGGTATAGTGCCCTCCATTAAGTACTGAGAACGCTCATCTCTAAATATCAAGACACTCTTCAAGATCAAACATCTATGTAGACTGCTCATGGCAAACGCACCACTTTTAGATCTATCCTTTCACGATGTGAAGTGTATTCAGTCCACCTTGGCTTAATTCCATCCAATTCCCATGAAATACACGTTCATTTTCAGCTGCATTTATTCATTTGCTTTCAATCCTTCTTCTCCCTGTCTCGCTTCTAGGGAGAGAATCATTTCTAAAACCCAGTATAAAAGTCAGCCTCAAGCAGCCACCACCTAGAGGAGGCTGGAAATCTTAGACTCAAAATATGTTAGAGTGAGAAAGGGCTTTGAAGATTAGCTGGTCCAAACTTAATTCAAAGGAGTTAGGATGCCCATGTTAATACTTTCAAGCAGAAGTGCGATCCCAATCTGGCTGTTGGAATTTTCACTGCATATGGCTTTGACCCAGTAATTGCACACAGAGGAATGTAGTCTACAGATAGATGTACCAGGACATTCAATGCAGCAGTTTGTAGTCAGGAAATATTGAAAGCAGCTTACCGACCAATAAGGGAATATCTTTCAATAAAAAGAGGACTGGATAAAGTGCAATATCTGAACATGGAGACACTGCCAACATGGGAAGGAGGGAAGGGGGCAATCCTTGTTTCCACAAAAGATGTTCACAGTATGGTCCCTGTAAAAGAATACTTATGCATGCTTAGGTAGGGGCTGGAGGTATGTCTACATGCATGTACATAGACAGTGGGAAGGAATGCCTGCAGGCCTGTTTTTGTTTTTGTTTTTGTTTTGAGATGGGCTCTCGCTCTGTCACCCAGGCTGGAGTGCAATGGTGCTGTCTCGGCTCACTGCAACCTCCGCCTCCCGGGCTCAAGCAATTCTCGTTTCTCTGCCCCCCGAGTAGCTGGGATTACAGGCATGTGCCACCATGGTCAGCTGATTTTTGTATTTTTAGGAGTTTCACCACGTTACCCAGGCTGGTCTTGAACTCCAGACCTCAGGTGATCCATCCACCTCCGCCTCCCAAAGTGTTGGGCTTACAGGCGTGAGCCACTGCATCCAGCGGCAGTCCTATTTTAATAGTGGCTACCTCTAAGGAATCAGACTAGCAGAGCAGCGGGAGAGAGGGTTGTTTACATTTTATTTTATACACTCCTGTTATTCATGTTTTTGAATAAAACAAATTAAGGGATAAGATAGATGTAGGTGTGACTTCCTCTCAGGTTGATGTCCTCTCCATTAAAAGTAGTGGTGTGAACAATTTCCCAGTGCCCTAAATGCGCTTCTCAGATGGCCCCTTTCCCTCCTGTTCATATAATAGAAACATATTTAACATCCTTTACTGTTGGCTAGTGCTGGAAGTGTGATTTCTTTAAAGGCTCAGTATAATCGAAAACGATTCATTTCCCCACCAATACTCCCTGCAGCCTGTTAAGGTCGAAGCCTCCAGCGGAGGCCGCACAGGCACTGAGATGGAAGTATTGATAACTGCCCTTTCTTCCCCAGTGACTGGTGTGGGCCTTCACCGGAATATTTCCATCAACTCTGCACAGGGTTGAGTCCTGGCCATGACAGTGTGAATATTGTCATTCAAGGTTCCCCTGGCCTAACCAGACCGTACAGATAACAGGAACCACTCCAACTCAAATTTCCCTGGTTTTTTCCATAGCCTGGGGATGGTGGACCTTTAATACACTCTAAGGTATCTTTCAGGTATTTCTTGAGGTCCCTGCACAGTGTCTCTCAGGTACTGCTGAATAACATCCCTCCTGTAAGCTGGCCCAGGGCTTTTTCTGGCCACTGGCTGGCCAGCAGTATCTCCTGTTTGCCCCTTCCATGTACTGAGGCTCAGGAAAGCTGCAGATGTCCAGGTAACATGACATTCTCTTTTAAGTAGGAGGAACACTTCCTTCTCCCATCCCCTCATGCCAACCACAATGAGGGTACCCAGCACTGATGCCCAGCAATGTGGCTTCTGCTCCAGCATATTACATAGTTATAATTCAGAATTTCAGTTTCTCTTTGTAAGCTGCTGACTGCTCGGAGGATGTAGGCTTTCATTCCTGATAACGTATTGATTGCTTCCTCTGTGTAGATGCATACATTAATAAGCACAGGGATGAATGAAATGCCTAAGGACTCTGCCATCATGAAATTTTCTGCCTAGTCATGGAGAAAGATGATGATCAAGCAATAAAAGCAAATAAATACATAACCATAAATTGAGATAAGTGCTATGAAGGAAACAGGCAGAGAGGTGTGAGAGAAAATAACGAAGGAGCTACTTTTGATCAGATGGTCAGAAAAGGTCTCCAGAGTCATGACAGTTGATATAATAACTACGAATAGAGCATATCAGAAACCCAGACTTGGAAAAAGGAGGGGAGGGGACATTAGAAGAGATTTGCTGGGGACGATGGGGGTGGTACAAAGAGGAGGAGGAGTTAATATTTTGAGACATTACTATAAACCAGTAACATTCTAAGAACTTTACATGTATTATATTCTTTGATCCTAATACAGCCCTATGTAGGAACTATTGTTAACCCGGTTAACAGAGGTATGAGATGAAGCACAGAAGGGTTAAGTAACTTGCCCTTGTCACACAGCTACTAAGTGGTGAAGGTGGAATTTGAATCTGGGCAGTCTCAGACCCAAGGAAGGAAAAACTTTGGATAATTTTAGCAAGTTAAAGGCCAGTGTGACTGAAATGGAAAGAAAAAAATGGGAGGAAATGGGAGAAAAATGGAGTTGGCAAAACAGCCAGAGTTGGCAAAACAGTCCATGCCATGCATGGATAGGTGGTCATATTTCATCCTCAGAGGGTGTCACAGCTGATTAATTAATACTGCTCCAAAGGAACAATATTGTTCTGAGGAGCCAGCTGTCGTCACGAAAATAATGATCACTTCTCTTACTTTTTTAGGCCGAGGTATTAGAAAACGAGAGTGCTTCCTCTATGCTAAGAAGAAGAAAGGAGCCTCAGATCCTGGAGACAGAATTATGCTCTCTGGCAGATATGCCAACTTCATTCATAACCTAGGAAACTGCACCACTTCCCAGGACCTACCAGCAGCAACCCATTCCCTGCATTAATAGAATTATGGATGGCCAAATACAGTATTCCACTTGGGGGGTGAGTACTGGGTTAGTAATACAGGGATGAAGAAGGGCATGGGAAGGAGCCAGTTATCACAGTGGGCCTCTCTAGGGAACGATCTCCAACTTGGCAGAAGCTTGGGGAGACGCCCGTGTTCCTGGCCACAGGCTGCAACTAACAGCCTCTGTACGCCACTGCCTAACTGGGACAACAAATCCCTGGAGACGAAGAAGAAGCAGTGTCTGGTGCACCCAGCATAAACTCTGGTAAGTTAGATCCACAGAAAAAGTAAAGCGGCAATACTCTCTTGATTCTTAAGGTCAGCATCTTGTTGGTTTGCTCTTTCCTGAATTCTTTGAGGAGATTCCTCCCACCCTTAGGAAATCTCAAATTCGTCCCACAAAGGTGAATGTTAACTCAGTCTAGCCTCCTAAACTGAGTCTAATCTCATCTCTAGTCACATAAACTAGGTACAATGGGGAGGGGATTTCAAACTTTTAACTGGTTAACCTGTTCTAGCTTGTCAAGCAGTGTGGACATCCGTTCTCCATGTTTCCCTCTCCAGCAGCCCCTCGATTTCTGTTTGGGGATTCGCACCATACCTGAAAGGCTAATTCCATCTGAGTGGCAAGAAAGGAACACGTGGCAGCAAGGAGGAAACAGTGTTCTGGGCTAAGCCATCAGCACGTTCTGTCCCCCTTGGCCACAGTGACTGTGAGCTAAGCACAATTGTTCAGTGTGAGTCTCAGGATCTCTGCTTTGGAATACAAGATGAAGCTCCTCTGTCCCTCTTGGTGTATTTGAATAAGAAGCAAGAGTCATTCAGGAACCACAGAAGGAGTCTGACTTAGGATACAGCCAACATAAAAAAAAATAGAGTTATGAAGAGCTGGGTCCTACATGACACCATTGAGCAGAAGGACTCCCCACCTCCTCAGAACCCTGCTCTTTTCAGGGATGCAAGTTAATTAAATTGAGCTCAACAAATATTGACAGAATGCCTCGTCATGTGCCAGACACGGTATTGGGCACTCGCAATACATGAGTGCATAAAACAGGTAAGAATCCCAGTCCTCAGGGAGAAGGAGACAGACAACAGACGATAAGCAGAACAAGTGAAATAGTAGCCTGTTAGAGGATGAAAAGCATGGTGGGGAAAAGGAAAAGAAGAGCAGGTAAGGGAGTTGGGGACTGGGGAGTAGAGCTGGGGATGAGGCTCTGTATTCTTTTTTTTTTTTGAGATGGAGTTTCACTCTTGTTGCCCAAGCTGGAGTGCAATGGCACGTTCTCGGCTCACTGCAAGCTTTGCCCCCCAGGTTCAAGCAATTCTCCTGCTTCAGCCTCCCGAATAGCTGGGATTACAGGCATGTGCCACCACACCAGGCTAATTTTGTATTTTTAGTAGAGACAGGATTTCTCCATATTGGTCAGGCTGCTCTCAAACTCCCGATCTCAGGTGATCCGCCCACCTTGACCTCCCAAAATGCTGGGATTACAGGTGTGTAATCTTTAAGGTGGGGGTCTCTCTGCTACTTGTTATCCTTTACTTGCTAATAAACCTACAACACCTTAGGACATTCTAAATACCTGTAGCCCCTTTCCCCTAACACACACCCAGAGGCAAAAATTTCTATAGAATTTTTTTTTAAAAGAATATGAATTACATTTGTCTAAGATTTGACTTGGGGAGGGACATTGCCTTTGAGTTCTGGATAAAGGTTGAATTCATCAGTTTTGGAAAATACATATCCACATTTTGGGGGCAGGGTGTGGGGATTAGAATGTTTCCATTTCAATCCTGTAGCACTCTGACGTAAGTTATGCTACCTTCCTGGAGCAGCAAGATTCTTTTACTCCCATTGTTCTGCTTCTTGAAATATACAAATAGTCCTCTGTTTCTGTTTCCAATATTGATTTATGGAAATGCATCAAATTAGTATTGGCAATGCTTTAGAACTTGAGAAGTTAAATTCTGTGACTCTGATTTTCTCAGGGACCAACTCATAAGAACTATAATATTATAGCTGAGTCAAAAGCTGGTGAGCAATAAGGTGAACAAGAAAGCAAGCAAGAGCAAATTAGTTTAACATAAAGATGTCTCTTCCCCCCACCATTCTGAGTACGTGGCTAGTGGCTTCCTGTGAAGGAAACACTTTGTCGGCTCTTGTCTTAGTTAAGACTGGCATTCCCCGTTTTGTACAAATCTGCAATGTTGTGTAAAAGAAGAAACTATCACCATAGACACTTGGGTCTCCTGAATATTAGGAATGATTATCTGGGAACACTAATCTGTCTCTTGCCATAGCACTCACTTTTTAGCAGTTATCTGTTCGCAGGCTATGCTTTGTTTTTGTTTGGTTTTTGTTTTGTTTTGGTTTGGTTTTTTGAGATGGAGTCTTGCTCTGTCATCCAGGCTGGAGTGCAGTGGCGTGATCTCGGCTCACTGCAACCTCTGCCTCCCGGGTTCAAGTGGTTCTCTTGCCTCAGCCTCCTAAGTAGCTGGGATTATAGGCACACACCACCACACCTGGCTATTTTTTGTATTTTTAGTAAAGACAGAGTTTCACCATGTTGGTCAGGCTAATCTTGAACTCCTGACCTCAGGTGATCAGCCTGTCTCAACCTCCCAAAGTTCTGGGTTTACAGGTGTGAGCCACCACACCCAGTCCAGGCTATGCATTTTTAACAGTGGTCCAATGCCAGACAAACTAAAGCTGTGCCCTGATAATGCCAGAAAGGCACATTTACAAACATGGCCAAATTAGCCTGGTGGGCTTTCATGCAAATGCCTTGTGCCTTGACTGTTTCAGATCTCAAGCTTTCCTTAGATGCTCAGAGTTCAACTTTAGTGAAGTTGCTGCTGAACAGAGGCACCCAGAGCCGGGGAATGAGTGGGGAGAAGAATGGAAGCAGAAGAAGGTACTGTGCCTTCTCAAAGTCTCTCCCTAAAACCTAGGCGGCAAAAAAGGAACAGATCCACTCCAGGTGGACATACCTATACTATAATAATATTGATTTTTAAATTAGTGAAAAGAGACACCTGAAATCATTGGGCAACAAAAACTCTGCAAATCATGGTGAGACAATTGGTGAGTACTTTCAGCAAAAGAAAACCCTCCCCTCCTGCCAGATGACAAATTAAATTATCAGTGGATGAGAGCCACATAAACGCACATACACAAGTATACACGTGCGCACCCACACAGGCAAAGAACTCAAATTGTGTATATGCCAAAAAAATAGTTGAATATTTATTTGATCACTGCTGGTGAAGAGCACTGTGGGTTTGTCGTGTAAGAAATCCCATGAGAAATGATAACAGAAAAATGGTAAACTTCTAAAGATTAGGAAGGGTACAGACTAAAATGCAAACATCCACATAGAAAAATCTACACTGAAAAGAAGAGATAATAATTTAACATATTTGAAACATAAAGAGCTTACAAAAACTGATTAGAAAAACATGAAGATTGCAGAATAAAAATGGGCAAAGGGCATGAGACAACTCACAATAGAGGAAATATCAATAAATAAAAAACAGATGGAAAATGTTCATCTTGTTACTTAACAAAGGTGAAAATGAAAGAGCAGTAGATAATTTTTCTTAATATCAAGTTAGCAAAAATAATTTCTTTGCCTAATCATGCTGATAAGAGCGCAAGGAAACAGGAAATCTCATACACTGCTTATAGGAGTATAAAACTTTCTGGAAAGCAGCGTGCTGTTTCCCAAGAGGACACTAAGTGTTTGTATCCTTTGACTTAGTAATTCTACTTCCAAGAACTTATCGTCAGAAAGTAATTTAAAAATTCCAAAATATGGACATCATGCATAAAAGATGTTCATTTCATCATTGCTTATTTAAAAAAATGGAAGCACCCTAAATGCACACTCTTCATTTCAATATTTTTTGAGTACCTAATATGTGTCAAACAACGAGCTAGAGCAGAAGCCAAACACAGAACAGATCTGATTCTTATCCTTCCAGTACTGGGAGGAACTGCAGGTTGGAAGGAGATGAACATTTAATCAAGTAGTTATTACACTTGCTATGGGAATGCATAGCAGAGGGACCTAGCCAGAAGGAGGGGTGACATTCAAACCAATGCCTGAAAACTGTGTGAAAGTAGCCAGAGGAAGGGGATGGCAGATGAAATATTCTGATTAATATTTCAAAAAGCAGAAACAAGGGCAGTAAAAGAATCTTGCTCCTTCAAGAAAGTACGATAATGTGTTCTGGAAAAAGGGAACAACATATTGCAAGTCCAGGAGGGGGAAAAAATGACCTAAATTAACAGCATCCTTGTATTTCTAAGTGGCGATGAAGAGAGTCCAAGCATCTGTTGGGAAGATTAGACCTCGCAGGAAACATAGTGGAGATGCTTTCCTCCTCTTCTTGTGATTAATTTTACATATTTTTCACATGTTAGTTTAAATGTCACCTTCTGTGGTTAGGTCCCCTCTGCTACGCACTCCTGTAGCAAATGTCACAATTATTTGATTAAAAGTTTATCTCCTCCCAGACTGTAAACTCTGCAAGGGTAAGAATTATATCCACCTTGTGGATGGGCATGGTGGCTCACACCTGTAATCCCAGCACTTTGGGAGGCTGAGGATCACCTGAGGCCAGGAGTTCAAGACCAGCCTGGCCAATATGGTGAAATCCCATTTCTACCAAAATTCCAAAAACTTAGTTGGGTGTGGTGGTGCACACCTGTGGTCCCAGCTACTTGGGAGGCTGAGGTGGGAGGATTGTTTGAGCATGGCAGGAGGAGGTTGTAGTTGTGAGCCTAGATTGCACCACTGCACTCCAGCCTGAATGACAGAGCAAGACTCCTTCTCAAAAAAAAAAAAAGAAGAATTTAATCTGCCTTGTGTTTGGCTTCTTTCTGTTCTAGATCAGTGTTTGACACATATTAGGTGCTCATAATGGAGTTAGGGAGTGGCCCACCACCAGGAAGCAGAGGTTTCTCACATGGGAGGATGGCTGTGTGGTGTTGTGGAGGGATAAATCCAAGGTGCCATGTCTTGAATTCATCAGTGAAGACATGAAGGCCTGGTCCATCAGGAGGACCGCTACCACCACAAGGGAACGAGGGATGGTCGTCATGTTGGACATACCTCTACAGTCTGGGTCTGTCATGCTCTAGGGTTTGCGATGTATGTCTGAGTGTGTGCTTATATCTCCAAGGGAATGGGAGTGACATCCCCAAACACGAATGAGGTTAGCTTTTCTAAAGGACATTGTTTAGTGGCTGGGCACAGTGCCTCATACCTATAATCCCAGCACTTTGGGAGGCTGAGGCAGGCGGATCACTTAAGGTCAGGGCTTTGAGACCAGCTGACCAACATGGTAAAACCCTGTCTCTACTAAAAATACAAAAATTAGCTGGGCATGGTGGCACGTGCTTGTAATCCCAGCTACCCAGGAAGCTAAGGTAGGAGAATGGCTTGAACCAGGGAGGTGGAGGTTGCAGTGAGCCAACATCACACCACTGCACTCCAGCCTGGGCAACAGAGAGAGACTGTCTCAAAAAAACAAAACAAACAAACAAACAAAAAACCAAGAACATTCGTTACTGTAGCCAAGAAAGATTTTTGATTTAAAAAATAAATCTGTTATCCATGCAGTGTGTGGATGAAAAAAAAATCCTTGTTACAAATAAGATAAATATTACATAATCATTAATAAGATTGTTTATGAAGATTTTGTAATGATGTGGGAAAGTGGTTATGATATAAACTTAAGCAAAAGAAAAAATAAATGCCAAATTATTAAAATAGTATATTGTTAGCTTTGCTTACACACACACACACACACACACACACACACTCCACAAAAAGCAGGAATATACTTCATTCTGTTAGTGGTGG